GAATTTCAGAATTGAAAAAGAAAACTAACGAAAATGATATTCAGATAACTCTCAACGAAAAGGAATGTGATGTGCTAAAGGAAGAATGCAATAAGCTAAGAATCGAAAAAGACCTGCAAAAACAATTAATGCAGGTTTTTAAATCAAAGGTAACTGCAGGCGCACAATTGTTAAAAAAAGAAGAAACTACACTCGAAGAAATTCAAAACAACGCCTGCAAAAACCTGACACAATACATACAAAATGCCCAACATTCAGTTCAGCTAGAAGATTTAAGTGAAGTGGACGAGCATATTAAAATGATGAATGTATTAACAGAAATAGACGAAGTAAAAAAGCAAATGTTAACCCTAAAAGGAGAGGTTAAAGGTTTAAATCTTTTTATAAAGTGTCAAGAAAATCAAATGAAAACACTGGAAGACATTGCAAGCTTCTTGAAGACCATGGAAACACGTACTTAGGTAAAGTTGTAAGAGTATTTGTTTCATTGTATGGAAGTTTAAAAGATTTTTTCTTGTACATTAAAAATTTATCTATGTTATTTTTTATGACTAGGTATCAAATAATAAAACTGCAGACATTAGTTTATAAAATTTCAGTTTACTTATATTTAATTACAGCTAGCTATAACACTCTTTTTTTCCATTTTTTACAGCACATAATCAAAGTGTATATTATGCGATCAAAAATTTTTAGCGCATATTTTTAAATTTAAAAAAATGTGATTGTCATATGTCTATAGGCTTCAACCGCTATATCACAAGTGTCGACGCGTTGAACGTTGGAACCGGAACAGATTGCATTTATAAGCCCTTCACTTGGAACCTGAACCGTTATTTAAGAAGTTATGATAACCGGAACCGATATCGGTACTGGTATTATAGTGCCAAAGAACGGTTCTGTATCTCTTGTAGCTATTTTATAGAGTAGATACGTTGCGCTTTGTGAGAGGCAAATGCGTTGTATATTGTTGCTCTTAAAGTGTTGGTGTTAAAAACTTAGATTTAACATTATTCAATTTGTTAATATAGGTAGCAAACAAAAAGCATCTAGAGAATTTTAGAGTCAGCATATCATGCTTTCTGGAAAGTACACGTCATTCTGTATCGCCATTCGCCGGTGACTGATTCATTATCGACTTGATGAATAAGAATAAAAATGTTTCCTTCTGAATTAGGTACGTTCAAAATGATAAAATTTGCTACTTACAAGTAATTTCAAAGGCCAAAAATCCAAATTTTCATTTTTACTCAGAGCTATCCACTAATTTCTATCAACCTTGATACTACACAAATATATAAACAGTAAGAGGGTTGAAGAGGAAAGCAATAGTTGAAACTACCTACTGCTGAAGAAATCGAAAGTAGAAAAAGACAGGCAATTGGCAGAGGTGAAACGAACGCGTTAGCTAAAATAAGTGTCAATTAAACCGTTTAGGAAAATATGTTTATGCAAAAGAATAATGTACAATGTACATACATTAATTTTGTGTACCTATTCTATTATTTATTTTCTATAGTTAATAGTAATTTATATTTTTTAATAATAATTTTATTTATTTATATTGGTAATAAAAAAATAATTCTACCGAAATAGTTGCGGAACCGGAACCTATAATTTCATATGGGTTACCTGGTTGAACTACACAATAACAAAGTAAGCTATAGCGTAGCGTATCTAGATACATGGACTAATTACACTAGTTTTTTTAGTCTATTCTAGATATTTGTGATTGAATCATATGAGACAAACAAAGCCAACAAAGAAACTAATTGTATCTGTTAGCCGCTAAGAATTTCCGTATTTACTCTGTATATCTAAAACCATTTTAGGACTTTTTGCCACTGATGTAAATAAAAAATAGAGGTCAGTCACAATCGCCCATTGAAAAAGCACATTTTCTTTCACATACACAAACGGTTTTTCTAATAAATTCAAGTTTAGAAAGAAGCATCCTGTACATACGTACGCGGAGATTCGTAGATTCTATCAGAACTACCCCTGTATTACTCTGTGGAACTACTAAGAAATGTCAGGAACTATTCGATTTATCATGGATGGAACGACAGATAATAACCTCTTATATGCGCTTTTGAAACTTTCCTTATAAATCGTTGAAACATAAATAAATTAATTTAATAATGGCACGGTTAACAGGATGGCGGTATGCAGCATTAGTTGGTGGTTTAGTTGGAGGAATTCTGTTAACTATTTATCCGACAATAATACGTCCCATAATGCATGTCGAAGAATATAGTAAGTACTCATTTATTCTGAAAATAATCCATTTAAAATCGAATCATTTTGTGTCATATTCAAAGTAGGATAAGGCAGACAAAATACGTTTAATTTATACTATTTTATTTTTTAGAACAACAGCAGCAATTCAGTAGAGTTCACCTGCGGAATGTACATACGGGCTCCCTAAAGTAAGTTCACACAAAATTCTAAGTAATCTAATAAATCAGTTTGGAATTTTAACTTTTTTTTTGAAATTTAAAATACCCTCTTTTTGCAACTTTCTTTTTACTCACAATTTAACAAACCGATGTGTACCTATATCAATAAAATTATAGTGCTTTCTCACATATATTATATGTGTTTATTTTCAGATCTCCCGATGACCACAGCTGATAGTCAAGGCAAAAGTAACCATAAGTTTTTCTTTGTGATTTGTTACAAGTAAATTTTGAAAATAGCTTGTATTAGTATTTTACAAAACATTGTTGGTTGAATAGATTATACCTGTTTACGTAATATGTGCAATAATTTATAAAAATTTTGAGTTAAAATGTTAAAATATGGCTATGTAGAAAGGCAAACGGTCATTAAAGCAACCCACACGCTGCACGCAACTGTCCAGCTAGCTCAATGGAGCAGTTTCCAGATATTTTGTTGTAAATTAATTATTAAAATTTAAGTAAAATAAATCAAAAATGCAAAAGAATCATTAAAATACCTTTACAAATGAAAAAGTGGCAAGATTTTATAGTTGCGCTTGGAAAAATAATTTCATTTCAGCGTGTGATATTCACTTGACCTATTCGCATTGGATAGCTATTCGTTCGCTTAGTACGTGTGCGGTTGGTTATTGGTGCTCAAACATCACGACATAATGTAATGTAATATATTTGCTTGTTATTACACAACCTGTACTCACAATTGTCGAAATATACAAAGTACATAGGTACAAATGAGTGGCGGAAATGTTAACAGTGAATATGTTTTTAAAAACTATTTATTATACGTAGAAACATAGAACATTTGGGTATAGTACGTAATATATTGAACAAATAACTAATTATTAATAAAATAAGAAAAGAACAAACCAGATAATATCTAAATGACAAACTCCAGCTTTTTTTTGTATGTGTAAATACCTTTTTTTCCACTTTCAACGAATTTTTTCCAATAGGCATTCTTGCACAATTAGGGAATTGTGCGCGAGTACACCATCTTGTTGAAACCAACAGTTTCCGACTTGTGTGCCGTACATCGCTTTATTTGTAATAAAAAATGCTACTCAATATAGTTTCTACTTTTTCTGGATGATGATTTCTCTGAAATGAAACGTCTCAACGGTGTCTTGTAAAACGATAAGTGGCAATGAGAAAATGTTTTTTTTTGTATCTGTTAAAATAACAGAAAAAAATTAAAACGAAATCTGCAAATTTATTGTCTCTATTTTGATCATCTTCTCTGAAAACTCAACTTAGACGACACTGACTTCATTGTAATTACAATAAAAAATATTATTGGCCCTTTGATGGTGGAAAAACTCCCTGTAAGTGATAAATTGAAAACCTTGGAAAAAGGCTGCTGTTCAGTGACAAACGCTCGATTACCATAGCACTCTGGACATACTTCTTGGTAAACATAAAAACACGCCCCCATAACTCGATTTCACGTTCAACTTTTCGCTACACACTCCCTAGCTTTCTTCTACACAACTTTACAACTAAACATGACAGACGGTCTTTTCAAATACAGCTACATTTCAACGTACACCAAACCAAAAAGCTATACCGAAAGGCCACGTACATTTCACGCCCCTCTCTTCTATTTAAAATATTCTTCCTTCTCCGTTCCACCTCCTTAACAAATTAATGGATCGTTGAACGTGAAACTGCACCTGTGTTTTCTTATCTTGAAACTAATTAGCTTACCCCGGATAATAAGACTTCTTATCTATGGTCGGAGATAAACTTTTACAAATACTAAGCAATGATTTCCAGATGTTTAAATCTAGTCTTAATACGTAACAAATAAATAAAACACAAGGTGATAATTTAAACAAAATTAACAACTAATAATTCTGGTGCAAAACAAAATTGATCTAGAATTCGAATGACATGATCGGAATTGCGCTTAATATCCCAATTTACAATCAACTTTTAATGCTAAAAATAATTGCATGTTTCCATCTGTCTGCCCCTGTGTATATCCATATATTAGGCTCGCCAAGAGAGAATGCCGGTCTACATCATTGCTTGTCACTATGGCCCACAACATCACAGACACAGCTGAGCCAAGTAATTTCATTAATCCTTAAACATTACTCCATAAGTTAACGTTAAGGGAAGTTAAAAGTTAACTTTTAAATTGGAATATTTTACTGTCAGTATATACATGAAAATTTAAACAAAAAAACCAATCATTATTATTTTATTATATTGACACAGTTAAGAACCTATTCGTGAGAGATCTATCGTTCGGTTTGTACATACAAAATTGAGTGCTGCAACTGTTCCTTTTGCTCTCATCCATTTGTAACGGATTTTAGTCAATAGACTTGTTAATAAATTTTGTAGTTAATTAAAAGTTAATATGTTAAAGAATACGATAACTTAATTAATTAAGGATTAACAGTTCACATTTTTTTGCTCACCTTTGGCTACACATTAACAATTTTCTTTAAATAAAATAGCAAACGTAATTCAAGAAGCATTTATTTCCAAAATTGTGGAATAATTATGTAGTAGTTTTACTACTGTCAAAACTATAACAATTTCCAAGTTTATTAACAAAATGTTTCATAGTATCAGTATCCAATAAAAATAGATTTTAAGTATGCGTCTAAGTATATAAATAGTAGGTACACATGTAATTCTTTGTGTGGCATCACTGTAAATTATTATCATCATCACAGACATCTAGAAACACATCAAACGCTTCCCTACTACAGTTGCCATCAGCAGTGAAAACATATTTGTGAAACGTTCCATCTAAGCAGATTGCTGTAATTGGATTAAGTTATTTTTAGTAGATCCATTGATAAATTTTACCTATGACGGCACTGTGAGGTGCAAAGGCACACACACAAGCACATTCAGGAGGTACTGTGAAATTTGCTAATGCCCACTGCGATTCTCCGTAATTACCTAACACAATGCCCAAGTTAGATAATCTAAAAGGTTAATTTAAAACACGCAACAGCACGTGGTCACCTTACGTCATACGCCGATTTAAGTTTGTATTTTTTATTGCGAAAATATGCACCGTTCCCTTATCACTTGAACAGCACAAGAAGTCAGAATCTCTACTAAAGTTTATACTAAAAAAAACACCGAGGATAAGTTACACAATCGAATCAATCAAGCTTACCAATAAACAGTCGCCTGGTCTGAACCCCTTCTCAGTTCAACCAACAAGTTTTTACTGACCGAATCCCATACTCTGATCAATGTTCCTTTATTTGACGCTGTTGCAATGCGAGTACCCTGCTGATTGAGAGCTATGCAACCTACTTCGTTTTTGTGAGCTGTTATGCACACAGGCGCGCAGGAAAATCCAATTTCTGTGTTGGTCAAGTCCTATAAAGCAATTACATTTTTTCTCACACTTTCCGACGTTAACGGCTCGGTACAAATTATATTTGTTAATCAATTGTTAAACGTCAATTAATCAAGTGAATCTTAATGGTAGGGGAACCCACGATGCTAAATGGTGATTTACTCTAACGTCATAGGGCCTTATTGAACATTGTAGATTAGATTGTAGAAAGAAAAAAGTTATATGATGTACATTCTTCAACCGGTGGGCGTCGCGTCTATATTTTTTTTTAGTAATGTACAAAAAAATACTCGAGCGCGTCCGATGTTGGTAGTGTATGCCTCACATATCTTTGATATTAGAGGAATATTAATATGCTGGTTTGAATGGTGGGATCGGCTGTACAGAAGGGTAGAAAGCGGGATTTATTCTAGCACGTCAGATTATTACAGCTTTGTACGTATAGTTTATGGCACGACCGCCTATGATCTTAGTCAACTGATGATTTGTTCCACTTTGGCATGTGGAAATCGGCAGATTATATTACTTCTGTTATTTTTCAATAATTTCCTTCGAAATATATAAAAAAATTCCAACTCGAGAATGTCAAGGTAACGTTTTTTTGCAAGTGATTTTACCACGCACTCCCCTCACGCCCAAATCATCAGATTATTGAAATGCATACTTTTCAACACGTAGTCAACCCACTTACTTTAATCTGACATGCTCGAGTAAATCCCAAAATTACCTATTGGGCTCCCCTATTAAAATGACACTGACACTGAAATTTAAAATAATGTGTTACAATCAATTGTCTAATGTAATAGTATTTTACATTATTAGCCAGGTAAGTGAGTTTTTACTGGCGATAGGAGCAGTGGTCGAAGTGGCAAATATTTTTTACCGGTATGGCTGAACTGATAAAATCTTAGTATTGTATGTATGCGTATATTATCATGAAAAAACTTTATCCGTTATGCCTATGTGGATAAATTTATTACCGGTATGTTTCACAAAAACCAAAAATCTATCGGTATGCCATACCGCCGCATACCGCCTCACTTCGACCACTGGGGATAATTTGTTCTTAAAAACCTCTACTATAAGACTACTTTAAACTTTTACTTTATTTTAGTCTAGGTTTNATAGTATTTTACATTATTAGCCAGGTAAGTGAGTTTTTACTGGCGATAGGAGAAGTTGACTGGCGAGCCTGTCATCTCCTAGAGCCAGTAAAAACTATTACCTGGCGTATAATGTACAATATTTTATTTGTTACTCATTTGTAAACAATAGTAAACGTAAATAATTAGTTCTTAAATTGATCTCGAAGAAATGTCTAAAATATCATATTATCCATGTAACAGAGACTTCGCATTAATTCTGGCCAATGAAATTACTAGATTACTAACTTGTAAAATTTTTACACGTCAGCTGTCAGTTTTACAAGTCAGTAGCGTTTAAAGATGACGTTTACCCGTTTGCGTTTTGTCTTGTTACTGAGTAACAAATAAACGTTATTAATTTTAAATGTATCTTCAATTGATAAAGGACATTCAAATAAAACCTGGTCACTAGTGTAAAGTCACGGTAAGGCTTTTATTACCTCAAAAATATAGTTATACACAGTCACGAACTTATAAATTAAGATGGACTGCATTGGGCTAGTGTGTTAGAGAGAGAACGCAGGATTTTTGCCCAAAAATGGCGGAAGTTACTAGAACCTAGTAACTTTAATGTTAGGGATTGTTCCACCTGTTTGGAGATATCTGTATATATTTTTATAAAACATGACAGTGCTATGAAGTTAAGTTATAAAAAATTACAGCTATTCAGATTAATGTTATTTGTCAATTTTTATAAGTTCGCAGTAAATTTGCCCAAAAATGGGAGATGATTGCGCTACTTTCTATATCTAGTGACTTTAGAAATGGGCCTAGCATGAGCGCCGCCATGATGTGCACATTTTAGTTATTTTCTAGGGGAATTTTCCTAGTGCTCAAGTTTTGAGACTATTGCAGCCTTGGAAAATGACATGTCACAGTAATTTATTTAGAAAACGTGAGGTTACCTATGCTTGTTTATTAGTTGATTTGAATTTCGCGCCATGTGAGTGCACATCATGGCGGCCCCCATGTAGGTGTCATTTACATTAGCATTAGCAGTCCATCTTAATTTATAAGTTCGTGTACACAGTACACATACTCAAGAGGTCCACCCACATGAAAGTCACAGGGTGAAAGGTCGGGACTGTACTGTGGTTGTTTCAGCGTTTCCCATCCAAACGGCATGTTCGGTAGTGGACAATAACTTCTGTGACCACCTTTTGTTCAGTGTAAAACCAGACTAGAGCATAGACAAAGCACATGTGCTTTGTCTATGGACTAGACTGACGCTACGCTATGCAACGTCAAACGGTGCACACGCATCAGTCTCTCTACCAATGGATGGCGCCACAATATCTGCATGTTACTAGGGTTCAATTGAATGTACGATCACGAACAAAAATAATGATAATCGGGAACTTACTGCCACTTAGACAACTAACCATACACTATCTAAAGTGGCAACATTGAATTGTAAGTTTTCCGGCGGCGATTAATGTGGGATCGTCGCACATTGTCGGCTTTTGTTCGTCACTGCCTTGCTATAAACGCTACAGCAGGTATAATTACAAAAATGGGTAAAACCGGATTTTATGCATTATATTCTGAACAAATTTAAGAGACATTACTTCACATTGGTATCTGCGATCTCGATTTTCTCTCCATTGAAACAAAAACTGGCTTTTAAGGTTAATTTTGCAAGACCCGTTTTATTTATTTATTTATTGTCCCTCTTGTTCTAGGCCCTTAACAGGCTTACGCCCAATTACAGAGTGACGCGCATAATGCTTTTTTTAGAGTTGCCCCTGCAGAAGCTCGTAAGTTGTTCTATACTACTCCGGTATTTACCTTATGAATTAGGAAACTGTAGGAAAACCTAATTCGGAGTAGCCGGCAGGCTGGTCGAAACTGATCTAAGGAAACATCTCTGCTACAGATGAAAAAAAATTCACCTCAACTCAGGTTCGAACACCCGACCTCCGGTTTTGTAGCCCAACGCTCTACCACTGAGCTACAAAGCCGTTTTGTTGCATTCTGACAAAAAAAGCCCACGTAAATGCAGTAAAAAAAATAAAACTTAAAGATTTAAATAGTACTTGTGTTTTTTATTGCGTAGGTATTTAACTATAAAAAACAGTAGGTATGTTCTATCTATCTATAACGTTAAAAATTGTAGTAATTGTCAATTAATCCTTTTCTTTTTACTCTCAATTGAAAAAATATAGGTAACAACTTCGGCGAATAATTCATAAGAAGTAACTGATGAAGTAGTAATTTATAATCCATGGGCATTTAAAATCAAAAAACCATAACATGAACACACTGCTTATCTAATGTCATTCACAAGATACTTATTAACACTTCCATGTTAAGATTGTTATGGGCGCACGCGTCGCGCATTGTTCCCGCTTAGCAATTCCTTCATCACTGTGTTGATATATAGGGAGTAGTAGTATTGCAACAATTGGAAAAACCAATACGCGAAATTAAAAAAAGATTTACCTACCTGAATCTAGCTTTTGTCCTCGGCAATGCATAAAATATGGCACATATCTTACAATTACCTACTTATAGTGTGGGTTGATCCCCTAATTAAAATAATGAATCATTTATTAATAAATTGTGATTGCAATTTTTGCTCCAACTTATTAATATATCATTGAAATATGACCTGTATGAAAAAATATTTTAGTCCAACAGAATCTAATTTTCTACAACATACAGTTGGTCTGGTACTATTATTTTGCAATGTTATTGTTCTTTTATGAAAAAATATTCAAAAAAACGTAATCTCAAAAATGAACAAGTTTTTAACACTAAGTAAAGTTCAGCCGATCTTTTTGAAAATGTGTATTTAGTAAATTCTTTTTTTATAACAAAACAATATGTTCAACTCGATCAACGTAGATGTTACAGTCTGCATAATTAAGTTAAAAAAATTTAAAAAACGATGCTTTGTCTTTCACACTGGGTGAACTGCTCTCTTGTAGAAAATGGGATTCAAAACAAATTCATCGCCTCGTTCATCGTTATTCATTTTTTCCCTTAGACCAATAGTTCACGAGATATTTGAAATGAAATGCCAAAAAAACGACTTATTCATGTTTTTAAAAACACAACGTCCTGTTTATTGTGTATAGTACACAATAATAAAAAACCGTTCAAAAATACTAGCAACAATATCGAGAGAAAAACTAAATTGAAGATACCAATGTGTAATGTATTAATGTCTCTTAAATTTGTCCAGAGTATAATGCATAAAATCCGATTTTGCCAATTGCAGTTATACTTACACATTTTATACCTGCTGTGGGCTGTAGCGTTTATATCAAGGCAGTGATGAAGAAATGGTGAAGCAAAGATGACAATGCGCGACGCTGTGTGGCCCATCCCACATGACTCCACGCCGAAAAAGTTACACTTCACCGTCGCCATTTAAGATAGTGTATGGTTGGTTGTCTAAGTGGCAGTAAGTTTCTGATTATCATTATTTTTGTCTGTGATCGTACATAGTGCATACCAATTAAACACCTTTAGGTGAAGTTTTTTTTTTGTAAAATTTGCTCTAGTGGATAAAACCTAACCTTACTTCACAAGTGGCTTTTTTAAAAAAATAAAACAACCGTTTAAAAAAAAGACTGTTCATCGATTTTAATTTAACGAAATTAGAAATCCAAAAAGATCACTGATCCCTAAATTAAACCCAAGAAGCACAGCAAGCTGCAATGAGGTAACTAAAGGTTTACATCAGTCTCAAACTCAGCACTTACACATATTCCCCAAAAGGTAGTTCTTATACCACACTTACCACAATTTGAACACTTCCCACTTTATGTCCTGGGAATATCAAAATTTGTTTCTCTGCTGATGCTAAGGGACTCATTTCACATAAACCAAGTGGATTGTCTCTAGTTTCTAAGGAGAATAACCTCTGAATTGGTGACGGAAATGAAAAAACGTGTATATGTGTTAAGAGAGCGACAACTAATCTGAAAATAAATTAATATAATAAATATGCAGGGTGTAGTGTAACAAATAATCATGTAAATAGCTAGCGTAGCAAAGAGAAACTAAACATGAAGTTTTAAAATAATTTGATAAATAAATAACATGCGAAAACCTTTTTTGTACATCCTGTATAAAAATACAGTCCAAGGCTCATACTGTAACAAGGCCAACTTAACATATGCGAGCCAGCTACGAGCCCTAAGGCCCGGCGCACATTGAGATGCACGCCACACACGCAACGCAACCCACGGCCACATACGCATTGTATTCTGTCGGAATTAAGGAGCAAACACATATTATGACACCATGTACGATACGATGTCTCATTTCTGAAGCCACAGATTGTTTAGTAATTTCAACAGTAGGTACACAAAGCGTGTGTGGCCGTGGGTTGTGTTGCTTGCACTGCGGGCATCTCAATGTGCGCCACGCCTAAGGCTTTATCAATATGCGAAACAAAGTCAAACGAAAATCAAGGGGTATTGCAGGTAATTAATGTAAGCATGATTAATTTTGAAAGTGACGACACCTAAACCAACCGACTTACTTATCTCGTCTCAGCCTAGTTGCTTTAATAGATGACGAAAATGTTAATTCTAAAACAAATTTCTTGCTTGCATCGTCAAATAATAACAAGGTATTATCAGCGAACTTTGGGCGTGAACCTCCAGCCACTATTGCTATAATATTTGTTCGTAACAACATTTCACAATGTGCAACGCTACCCATTAGATCGAAATCTGCAAAACATTAATGACTTATCGCTTCACGAAATGTACTTGGGTTACATGCCGTAGTGAGCTTTCTCTGCTAAAGGATCTACATTGTATATTCGTAACCCACTTTCCATTGAGCAGGAAAAACAACCTAAGAGAGTTCATGTTTTAAACATTTTTAATGCACACATTACTCTAACCTTGATCTTGATTAAACTTAATGTTCAGTACAGCTCTATCAGAACTCATGATTTTGGTTTGTGGAATACTACTAACGTGAAAAAGGTAACATTTTTTAATACGTAGTAAAGAAAATTAACTTGGATGTATTTAAATTCTTTGTTTGTTGCTTTTCTTTGTACTGGCTACATCATGGCAAACGGAAATTTAAGAGAGTAACAGCATAGTGGCTCTCGTTACGCGAATTTTTCTTATACAGATATTGGTGCCAGCGGATGTATGTAACCATACCGTTGTAACCCCCAATGCACGGTTAAATTTTTACATTACATTTGCATTTTACACATAAAAATGCAGGTAAAAATTGAAGAAAAATGACAATGATACACGTTTAAATTTGTGAGGTATTTTAAAAAGTTGAAAAGAAAGATGCATGATACGTAATGTTGGTGGTTCTGTAATAGCAAATAAATCCCTAGGACTTGCAAAAGAACTTCACTTATAAGTTATATTTACCTACTTTTTAAAAATCAGGATTGTCTTTGATTCTATTAATAAAGGTTTTCTCGTTTGGTTTAAGTTACAATGAACAGGTCTATCGCCGTTGCTGTTAGTGCAGTTGCAATAATAGCAATTACTGGAAGGGTGAAATTTAAACAAGAAAAAGAAAAATTGCAACCCAAAAGTGTGAGTTGAAAGAAGGGAAGATAAAAGAATTATGACTAATAAATAGATAGGTAATTAATTATTATTTGAACATCCTGCAGCATTCAGGAATTATTTACGAATGACAAATAATTCATTTTTAAAGCTACTTGCGAAAGGTGAGCCATACCGGGTGAATAAGTATTTTAAAACCGAACATAGGCAATTAACAAGAGAAAAACGTTTTTTGCAGATTGTTGCTCTCCATGTTAACTTAGAGGGTTTATAATCATACCAATCAAAAGAAGATTTTTTTCTCATCTAATGATATACGAATTAGTTTATTAAGGATCCTCAGATCCTTTATAGTTTTGTATTGTCGTCCGTCCGTCCGTCCGTCCGTCCGTGTGCGCTCTAACTCTTTTTAAAAGTGGCCGATTAAGTTGAAATTTGGTGTACGGGTTCTTTGGACATTAAGGACGGACGCTATTGATTTTCAGGAAGCTGGTTCAATAGGAACAAAAGTTATAGGACTTCGAGTGAATCGGGAACAGGAAAAACTACGGGCTCAATATAATAGAAATTAACATATTTCATTCCCTAGGTCATGTATCGGGTTGGGACTTCCGCTAGATTATTCCCTATGACTCTTAGATGTGTAATACTTTAATATAACTCTTCTCTGTGGTATAAGGTCGAAAGTTTTAGAGCAAAATGTAGCAAAAATTACACTTTATACTTGAATTTAGAGTTTTAAAAGGTTTCAAACGCATTATCTTGATGCAGCAAGAGTACATCACGTGCACATTTGATAACCGCATGTGTGTGATTCAAAAATGTTAAATTATTGCCATATGGGTTTTGATCAAAATAATCAAAATCGTTATTTATGCACCAAGATCGTCGAGAAAAAGGCTAGGGGCATTATCTCAATGCTCAAGACATAAATTTGATGCATTTCTGGCGACCACATGGATTTTGATCAAAACATGTCAAAATCGTTATTTATGCACCAACATCGTTGGGAAAAAGACTAAGAGCATCATCTCAATGACCAAAACATGAATTTGATCTATTTTTGGCGACCACATGAATTTTGATCAAAACATGTCAAAATCGTTATTTATGCACTAAGAACGTTGGGAAAAAGACCAAGAGCATTATCTCAATGATCAAAACATGAATTTGATCTATTTTTGGCGACCACATGGATTTTGATCAAAACAAGATTAAGAGCATTATCCCAATGGCCAAGACATGAATTTGATGTATTTTGTAACATTAAAATAAATTATCGTTAAAAGTTATTGTAATACTGAGGATCCTTCGATATTTCGTTGTATCGGTTTATTTTCACTTATAATTGCACAAGAGGTTTGTATTTTACCGAGTAAATTTGGGTTGTTTAGGTAATGAAAATCTGTTGCCTAGCAATTAGACGAGAAAAACTGTCAACTAATAAAAATGCGACACCGAAGGTGGAGCATTTTTAGGTTGACAGTTTTTCGAGTTCAATTGCTAAAAGGCAACAGATTTGAATTGCAACAACACAAATTTACTCGGTTTAAATACAAACCTCGAGTGTAATTCGGCAGGACAATTTAACGAAAAAGAAATTCGCATAACTAATCAATTACTGACAGACGTCAAACTAGTCATATGGGAAAGGGTAATGCGATAATTGGTTCGAAAATGAATAAGTGAAAAAACCACTAGTGCATTTGTCGCTGGAAAAGTTGCAGGTAACTTTTGCCGCTGTCAAAGTGACAATTACACTGCGGCTTATGTGATTTTTTATACATGAGTTGAATTGTCAGTAGTAATACCCCGAGAGCTTCAAAATTATCGAATATTTCCCGAAAGTTTGGTTGCATAGCAACGGTGTGGTGACAAATTTGACACCGCCCGTTGCAATGCAGCCAAACAAAAGGGAAATATTCGATTAATTTTGATGCTCGAGGGGTATTTGGCTAGATTATTTTTCAAATTTGGAAAGTAAACCACTTCACCAATTCTTGTCTTAGTTTCAAGATTTTTTATTTGAAATTTAATAATTTATCACCAATAATCATTAAGTTATTTACATTACACAATTAAAAAACTGCAGATTGCATACAATTAATTTAAGTAAAGATTAGTACAATTGAAGGTACAGTTGTTGTAGACATTATTGCTTGTTTTAGGGGCATTATAGCTTGTGGAGGTAGCCGAATTCATTTCAACTGTAGATGTAGGATCTTGCCGCATTTTCTTTAATATTTGTTCATGGTGCTCCTTATTTAGCTGCAAGTATGGTTTTATTGAATTGGCATTGGAGTGCCCGGTAATTTTAATAATTTGCTGCTCCCCAACTCCAGATTTTGCAAGTGTGGATACAGCAGTGGCCCTGCTCGAGTGGTTCGTTATTTTCTTGTCAGTAGTGTTAAGCCCAGCGCGTTTTGCAGAATCGTTCATCCATTTTCCCATAACATTTTTTCCTACAGGAACGTCTTTGTACCAGCCAACACCTTGCAAATCTCTCCAATTGGGGTTTACAGTTAAAAATAAACGGTCCGTCTTTATATTTTTACCTCGAAAAGACAATAACTTCTTTAACAACCTTACCGGACAGTAATCGAGAGCCTCTTCATTTGCAATTAGCCACTTACTATTTGCGCACTTCCGTTCTCCACCTTGTGTTGTCTTTGTGAACACAGGATTGTATTCAATTCTACCAGTATAAATACCATCGTTTCCCAATTCCTCCTTAAAGTGATGCACGATTGCCGTTAGTCCTTCATTACCCCTCCAAGCCAATTCCACGGAAATGATAATAAATAGTTTTCGTTGCAATCCCTCTGGTGTATTTTCGTTCCAGACGTTCATCATAGCTATTATGTCTTTTTTGTCCAAAGCCGTTAAACTGGTGGTACGTTTGGTTGGATCGGCCTGAAGTGTGCGCCTTTTCGCATTTCTCGCATCTCTAGCTACTTTAAAAGTTGGGTTTTTGAATGGGTCTCTCTGTTGAATTCGTTGAAGTACTTGTCTTGTATCATTTTTGCAGTCTGGTTCCACATAGTTTTCACTACATTTTCTTTATAATTTTCTCCGTTCGATTTTAGCATGTTGAAAGCCCAATCTGTTAAAATATTAGCGAGTTGTTCATTTGAAGTGGTTTCCATTAATTCATAATTCCTGTCGGCGCAAAAGTAAAAAAAACTGTTTCCAAACCATGTTTTTCGTTTTAATGGTGTTTAACGGCACATTTTCCTTAGTTTTTTCTTGTATATTTTGTAGCGATTCTACACCGAAACGACTCATTTTAGAGAAAGTGTTGCACTAAACTTGTATTTTAACTTACAATCGTCAAAATTACGATGCCTACTAAGCGTTGTTAAACAAATGTCTTTATAGACATGGGTTGCTATTTGTTTCAAAAATATTTTCGCTGCCTAGCAACAAGCAGGGGTATATCCGAAAAATATCAGAAATAATTCTCTCCAGTAGCTTTGAATACGGCGTTTTCATTGGTCGACTGTTAAATGTGAAAAATAATCTGGTATATTTCTCATTATATTATCAAAAATTCGGCAATACATCCAATTAGCAAAATCATGTTAAGCCATGGAAATTTCCTAAAGAATTGAAATAGGTTTTCACACAGACGGAATGGGACGCTCATTAAAATGCACGGAAAACAAATATCGCGTACTAGAATATTTTCGCTGTACACGTTGTTTACTATAAATACCTACTTTTTCCTCAGTGAACCGCATTTTACAAAAAAATTAATGCCAGTTGTCATAAACTGATATTGATTTCGACGTTTGAATCTGCTTTTTGTCTTCCTAGTCATGGCTTAACAATTAACATGATTTTGGTAAGTGGATTTATTGCCGAATTTTTGATAAAATAGTGAGAAATACACCTGAAAATGAACTAATTCGTATATCATTAGACGAGGAAAAATCTTCTTTTGGTTGGTGTCATTATAAACCCTCTAAGTTAACATGGGGAGCAACGATCTGCAAAAAACTTTTTTCCCATGTTAATTCCCAGTGTTCGGTTTGGGAATATTCACCCGGCGGCCGGCATATCGCAAAGCAGGACATTGTAATGGGAGACTGCATTCCTTCAAAGCATAAATAACTTTGCGTTATTTAGCTAGTGGGGAAACTTTCAGAAATTTAATGTATTCAACAAGCGTCCATGAATCCACTAAGCCCAATTTGTACCAGTAATTTGTACAGCAATTGTACTTTTGTGGACGACTATTTGAGGGCAGTAATTATGCTTTTGATTGTTCCCTTCGTCGTTTCATTTTATTTTTATAATTTTTGTCCATAACGCGATATAGACACTTGCTGTTGGTATAAATCAATTAAAATTCTCGTATTTTCCTGTGTCCACATTTTCTACTGGAGATCGAGATGGTACAATCAAAAAGCAAAGATTCAAATAAAAGAATTAACGTTGGAAGAATAATCGTATTCTATGGTTTTCGTTGTTGCCAACTTCTTCTTCGGCGGAATATAACTAACTTAGTAGTACCCTTTGATTAATAATCAAAG